TATATATATATAAAAAAATTAAATGTCAGACTTTTGCATTAATTAAGATTTTTTTAAAATTTGAATACAAACTTTGAGTACTTTATTTCACAAAAAAAAAATTAAAAATACTTTCCTGGAGTGTTTAGTTTCAGAACTCAAGATTATATTTGTCAAATTTAAGTTTAAAATATGTAGCTAACACTGTTTTCTGGTATCGAATGTAAATATTTGTAAAAAGAAATTCTTTTGTATATTTTTGTGAAAATGTAGTTCCCCAAAAGTTACAAAAGATTTAATAAAAAAGTGCATTTATGTTACTGCTCAACACTTCTCATCATTATAATACCACTTACTTAAACCTATTTTGGGTCACCAGGAATTATTTTTTTGCAACATAAATCACAGGAACTTTCTGGAATGAGGCAGTTACAAAACAGTCAGGTGTACTGGAAGAAAAACAGATTCTTCAGGAGGAGCTTCAGAGAGTCACTTTCTGTCTTCTTGGTGTAAATGAAGGTTGCTGAAAGCATTCATTTTCAAGTGAAGTGGTATCTGATTTTGTAAGATTTTTAAATGGTGCATAATGCCACTAATTGTTTAATTGTTCTTGCTTATCAAGCATTTTCGCTACCTTGTCTGTTTTTTTTTTTGATCCTGTTTGAGAAATTGTCAGGGGTATGATAACTGTTACATGGAAAAAAATGCCCAAAAGACAAACCCTTTACATTCTTTTTCTCTGTGAGTGGGTGAAGTGTTCAGTCACCGTTTGCCAGGACACCAATTCAGTTGTGTACATCGTACCAAACATCTGCTGAACAAAAAATTCTTCTAGTATAATCCAAATACAGGAATAAGCTTTCTAAGACCTCCTGACCATACACTCACTTCTTCAGCACACCTAATCATAAGCAAGAAACATTACCCAAATAGAACACAAACTGTGCTTTGAAAGTTTTTAATGGAAATTAAAGTAAAACTTTTCTTACACAGACATTTTCTTCTTACAGTGTAAAAAAAATGTAAAATTCTCAAGCTTACAAACTTGCAAAATTAGAGACATTTCAAGTAATCAATCAACCTCATTTTATGAAAACAATGTATAGTAAAAGTCCAAAATGTATGAATTTTTCTAACATCCTGTGCCCCAGTGCTTCATCTTCTGCTGCTGTTCCAAGGAGGCCATCAGCAGTCTGCAGGTGCACCACAATCATTCACTGAGGGGAAAGAGAAGAACAATTCACATGAGTGACAATCCCGCCGGTCTCCAGCACGGACGGTCTGCGAGCGGGTTCGTGTCTTGCCCTGTACGGATTAAGGCCTCTGCAGGTGAGGTTAGCTGGAGGGAAAAGCTGATGGGATTTGCAGGCCTATGACTGCAGCTCTCACAAGCTTGCTACCAGTTTATGGAATCATGGATAGATGCCGGGAAGGAGCTGTTCTGCCAGGAACCCTCTGAGAAACGTTTTGTGGAAAAGACAGCCTGGACACAAAACAAAGTGATGGTAAAGGAGAGCTGGTGTTGGGGTTTCAGCTTTATTCAAATAAGACTCAGAAAACACCATTCACCCAGGTCAGGATTCCGGTGGCTGCCATATCCTAGCTGCACGGCACTTGCTTGTCAGAGCTGCATCACGTGTGTTAATGCTTATACTACTAAAACTAAACAGGGCAGAGTTCTCTTTTTAAAAGAGAGGTGCCTACAACAGGTATCTTGCAACGTACACTCTAAGCCTAACCAAGAAAAAGAAAATAAATGTTAAAAAAAGGCAGCTCACCTGGTTTGAGTCCGAGTCCATTTCAAGGCATGGCGTGGAGGTACAGCAACCGTTGGATGGTAAAAAGTGCAGTCTGGCCTCGTACACTGGGTATTAAACCTGCAATGCTGATGTAAAATGAAGGCGTTTCAGAGGTGTCGCTGGGAGCTGGCTGGCTGAACCCCAGGCACGCTCCCCTAGGAGGGGGGATGTGCACCTGCACAGATGGCAGGGCCTGTCTGACAGGGAACCCGAGCCACCGACCAGCGCCAGGGACAGAGCTCAGTGTCCCCTGACGGGTGCACACCAGTCAGGAGCCTGACATGGCCTTGCCTGGAAGGTTGGAGAAGCCAGAGCATCTGGCTATAGCAGCTGGGAACAGAGTCCTGGGTGTGCCTTGGCACTATGAGGGCCTGGAAAAGCACCACAAGCACTTCCACAGAACGGCTGCAGGGGCTGCAACCTCCTGTACTCTCTAAATGACATTAACACACTCCAGAGGAACCAGGCAACCTTTAAAGGTCTTGTACATGGCTGCATATCTGAATGAAGAGTATGGAACATATTCCTTTCATACAGACTGCAAGATGTCCTCCTCCTCTGCCCCCAGCATCCTTGACAAGTGTGATGGCTGTTTGTCTGTTTGAAACTCCCCAGAAGCATCTGGTAGAAGGATTATTTAAAAATATGATTTTTCAAATTCTTTAAGTCACTGCTTTTGCATATTTGGTTTCTGAACTAAAGTTAAAAATTAAAAGTAAAAGGAAGAAGTGTGAAAAGCTAGTGAAACTTCTTGATGCAAAGCAACATACTTCAAGTACTTTGAGAGAAAGGAAAATATAGGAGATAGTTCTTACTTTTGGGTGGTAAAATGGACATTCCATTTTCTTACAAGCAGGAAAAAACTTGCACAGCGGACTACTGGAGGATATAGATAGTGCGGGTAGTGGTGCTAATAGTAGAAAAGAACATGAAGAGAGCCTGGATCAGAATAAATTGGTTTTTTAACACAGTTCCACACAAACGTAAATATATCCAGTCTTCTGCAAGAAATTATGTTTTATAATACATCAGAGTTCTGCAAGAAATACAGGAAGCATATTATGATGCATTAAGTGGGTCTTCTTATGGGGCAGGACAAGACTATCAGGTAATCAGCAGTCTCAGTTCTTCACCACCTCAGGAAAGAAGGTACTATGGTCATGGCAATGCTTCCAACAAGCTAAGCAGAGACTCTGGTAGGCAGGGGACTTCAGATGTTAAACTCAGAACTAGCAAGCCTGTTAAGAGTTTAAGCTAACTGGACTGAGAAGCGCAAGCACTGCGCTTTCCAGGAACAGAGAGGAGCTGCTAGAAATGATATAGGAGACAAGCATGTTGTATGCTACCTTCTGGCAAGGTAACAAACTGCACTTTACTCTGACTAAGGGCTAAACCACTTCCAAAAAATCCTGACTTCAGTGGAGTAAAGGCCCCTGCACCTTGGCACTGTTCAAGGCTCAGGAATACCAACCCATCAAGCAAACACAGCTGCTGCCTTCCCTGGGTAACCTCATCCCTGAGACTCACCGCACCATTACATAAAGCTCACTCCTACAGTGTCATTAAAGAAAAAAAGTGCTCCTACAAAGACAGAAACTTGTTTTCAATTTTTGTCACAACCTTTTGGTACAACATCTATCCAATTTAAGAAAAAAATTTGAGCAAGATTGCAATGCTGGCTAATCCCTCCAGAAGAAGGGACTGCTTGCACAAGTCACCGCTTTGACCGTGCACAGATTTCGCCTGGACTCTTGCGTAAGAGCATTCAGGGATTTTTCTGGTAGCAGTTCTTTGCAGTAACACTTATACTGTTTTCCCTTCAGCACTATCACATAAAGCTCCAAAAAACAAAAGGTGCTCACCTGGTTTAGGAGTTGCATGTGGCGTTCGTCGACTGGCATGAGTGTAAGGACAGTCTGGCTTAGTGCACTTGGCATCGTATTTACAGTTTGGGTGGATGAACAAGCACTTATCAGCAAATTTGCAATTAGGAAAAACTCTGAGGGAACAGAGATTGAGTCATAAGCCCATACTCGGCACCAAATGCCCAAGCAGCTGTTGCATGTGAAAGCCAGAACAGCAGAGCAGGGCGCGGGCACACGTGCTGGGTCCTTCCAAGCAGGGCAGTCGGGACCCAGTACCAGCCGCACACCAACAGACCTCTGCCCACTCTCCCCTGGGCACCTTCTACGCGCAGTAAATAGCTGATGGCCTCACGCTCAGTGGAGTTTGGTAGCAAGCTGCTCGTTGCAAGCTAAGATGCTGTGAGTTCAGAGCTTCACACAGAGGGGCACAGCATTCCCTAAGTGACATGGTTCATTCACTGAGGAAAAGGTGCTATTTTGAAATGAGTTACGTTGGATTTCAAAGGAGAATTCAAATGTCTGACTAAATGGAGCCACCCAATCTGGTAACATTTATCTCAAAACAGAAATTGTGTTTCTGGACTGTTGCTGCTTGTGGAAGAGAGGTCACAGGCACAGTGCACGTTCAAGAGTTAGCCTCCGCTTTCAAATAAAACAAACAAAATCGCTGCATGACCATGTAATTGTACCGAAACATGCTCAAAAGCATTTTGACAGCTAGCAGAGGAGTGCCCCTTGTTTTAAAAAGACACCAATTCCCACATCTGACATCTGTAAGCAACACAAACCCACCAGCCTGTATGCTAAACTAAGCTTTCCTCTGCATGAGCACGGCTGTGACTCTACTTATGAAAAAAAAAAAAAAAAAAAAAAAAATTTTCGTTTGTTGCCTCAAACTTTAAGCTGGGCAAAATATTCTGACAGACAGGAGATGGGAGGGAAGCAAAGGCCTTTACAGTGGGATCATCTGCCTCTGACCCTACCCGGACAGACTGGCACTGCCTTGGAGCAGTGACTAGCTCAGAAGGGCGATTTGTAGCACTGAAATGAAAATAAAAGCCACATGCCGAGCGGATGAGCTCTGCACTACTTACTTGCAGGGTAGCGTGGGGTGATGGTACACGCACTCATCTCCATTTTTACAGGCAGGCCAGTACTTGCAGCGCTCAAGCACCTTCTCCTGTTTTTGCAGCACATTTAACTGTTCCATATCCACTAGGAAGGAAAGAAAAAAAACCAAGTTGGGACCTTTATGACTCTATGTGCAATTTGGCATACACAATGCAGGGTAACTGAAATTCACAGTTCTTCCTGTTCTATTTCATTTCAACCCTCTTCTTAATAAGCCTCTATTAATCAAAGCCATGACAGTAAGCATTTATGTAGACATAGTATCTGAAGAAAATATCCAAAACTACAAAGCAAAAGTCATAATATTAGACTGAGAGCTGCTTTTCGGTGATAAAATATCAAAATGTGCATCATTTCCAAGCAAAATAATTTAATTTTCCTCACAAACCCAAACAGGTGTGAAAGTCAAACAGACCAGATCTTGATCAGACAGGACAAAGATTCTATAATTGAACCTTAGGTAGGACTGCTATGCTGAGCCACTGAAGTGCTGTGGTTATACCCCCCTCATTCAGGCCTGGCATATGGATGATGCCCACAACCAGGCAAGAAAGACCCTCCTGACTGCTCTTCACCCAGGGTCTGGCCAGCCTTGGGTGGGAACTGATTAGGCACCACCACGTGCCCCCACCTTCCACATTTACTTAGAGGTAGGGCAAGACGCCACCTCCATAAGAGCTGGCTCTCCTTGCAGGGGAGCTGCAATGTCTGTCTATGCAGTGCATGTGCTGTGTGAGGATTCTGGCTGTTGGAAGGGTTCCCCGACTCTTCAGAGCAAGTTGAGTTCCCAGGATGGCAGGGCCAGAATGTGAAGCTGTCTCTGAGTCCCTGCTGTGTAACTGGACTCATGCCCTGGCTGCTACCATTGCCCACAGCTTGGCTCCTTGCCTGGCTTGCTCCCTTCATGTCCCCTGTGGTGGGTGAGTGCATTGACTTGTTCCTCCCTCTGCTTTGTCTGGCACTTTGGGTGTCTGGTGTGTGGTGTGAGAGTGGAGGGAGCAGTTTGGCTGCTGGTCTGCCTGTTAATGATAATATTCTATACTGGGCAAGCGGTCAGCAGAAGAGCCATGTGTTAAAATGCTTCCTTTCTCCAGGAAATTTTTGGCTCTAGAAAATTATTTCAAGATATAAAGTAAAAATTCAATTTTTCCACTAATCATATACAGTATTAGTATCAGATACAGTATTAGTATGGGGGCACCCAATGAAAAAGAACCACTTTCCTGTACTTTGCTTAGACAGATACCACATTCGCTTCATTTATCTGAACTCAGACTCCAATGCAAAAAGCATTTTAACAGCTTCCAAGCTGAAACATTCAACTTTGACCTTCTCCTAGTTAACATTATTTGTAACCCCTCATTCTGTAAATCCAGGCCATTAAGCATGCACCTTCACTGGTGTCTTATTTTTCCAGATCTGCCTAAACCTTTGGCTGTTCAAAGCCTTCCAGGACTGCCAGACCTACTTCTCCGATCTCACTAGTGACACATCTGCTCCACCCTCAGACCCTTTTAGGCCTTCTCCTTACAATGCACTGAGGCCAAATAACGCTCTCCTCTCGTGAAATCACGTGGTTTGTGTAAATCACTTCCACACTGATCTGATTCTCTATGAACTTCAGTCACCCCTCTGCTACTTCTGGCTGATGCAGTTAATCAAATAAGACTCCCAAACAGAGATAGAACTGGATCAGAAACACCCTCCTGTACCAACCAGCTTTAGTCAGGAGCATGGAAGAGACTACACCAGGGAAAGCAGAGACTGGCAAGGGCAGCAACCTAACATATGTCACTGTACTGGCAGAGATGTGCCAGTGGATACAGAACACTGCCTTCTTCTTTAGGACAGCCTGATATGCACAGAACTTCTGCAGACAGGACTGACTGGAAGGCCATGGACTTAAAAGATCTTTTGATTTTCCCTCATGGTTCTCTCATAACTGCAGCACACATTTACAGCTGGATCCATTAAATCTAAGAGTTCTCTGTACAGCATGATATACTATTTTTTAGATTAGTTCAGCAAATTTGGATGCACTGCTGCTAAGGAAAATAAAGGCATTTATTTTCATATGAAAACTATAAAAAAATGAATGTAAACATAACCCTAAGGCAAGTATTCAACAGGTCTATGACAAAAAACCAGCTTGTTTTTCATCACAGTGTCAGCATTCTAAACAATTCAAACATATGCTTCAGCAAGCAACTTCCCAAGTTATTCAGAAAGCGTCCTGAAAATACACACCTTCAAGCAAATTCATACACTGTTTAAGTTGTACTTTCAGAGATTCCAGCAACTTGACTCTACCAACATGTTATACTTAACAGGCTACTTTTGATATCAGAAATCTATAAACTTTAAAAAAATACTTCAGGCAGTACTAAAGTTCAAGGCATGGCAAAACATTAATGTAGAATCTCCTGTCCATCACTATGGGGACAAATGACAAGAGGTCAACCAGATATGCAGATTTCTGGCAATGAAGACCAACTACATTTTCAAAAGAAAAAAAATCCCAAAATTTTACCGATACTGAGATGTTTAAAACTTTAGTTTGCCAAGATAAAGGTTTCTAAAGATCCAGTCCCACTGAACTACTACATGTTATCTGTGTAAAGAATGTTCTAATTTGGAAAATAAGCACCATCACTTTTGATTTCTTAAGAAGGATACATCCAGGTCCACAACCAAACCACCACACTAATGCTGGCTCCCGCTGGTAAGTGTAATTACCATCACAGCTCTCCAGCTGCCTCGTGACAATTTGCATCTGTTGTGCTCGAAGGCCTTTTACTCCTTTGCTGGCATACATATTTTGGGTAACTGGCTTTAATCCTTCAATTATACACATATCTTCCTCTTCTTGATCAGAAAGGTATCCTGGTGGGCTGGGCACACCGTCCAGTGTCACGATGAACTTGGGACTAGCTGGTTTCTCTGGCTGTGCAAGCTGGTCTCTATCAAACAAAGAAATGCAGTAAAAATAGATTTTCTGACTTGAGAGGTCAGAGTAAAAGTGGGCTGCACTAGTAACTTAATGTAGTACAAGCTAATTTATGGAAAGCCATGCAGTAACAAACCTTCCTTTAATGCTACTAATAATGTACTCCAGTTAACAGTTTGCCTAGTCTCCCCGAAGCACTAATAAGAAATGGAGCTTTCAATGGCATACAGCAGAGAATTTGGCAGGTGCATTTCCATTTACTGCATTCTGCTCAACAGATAGATCCAAAAGCTCATTCACAGTTAAATAAAGGAAAGTGATTAATCTTTTGAGAAATTTCCAGTTTTGAGACAAAGAAAGTGAGGGTAAATACCATTCTTGGAATTACAAACCTTTTAACACAAAACCAGTGTCTCCTCAAAAATACTGAACAGCACATTATGGAACAGTGGGTGGAAAAGTTTCCAGGAGTAGGAAGAGAGAATGGGAATAGTGACAGTAAGAACTCTGACACCCAGCCTCACTGAAAGATTGGTCTCGCCTAGTATCCTGTATGTGAGAGTAGTCACTGTGGGTAAAAGACTGTGTATAAAAACAAAGGATGTGTCTATTTTCTCCAATCTTTACCCATTTCACTTGAGGGATTTCCTGAACGACATGTGATTCTAAAAATCTGGACATACACAATGGAGTGCTCATCTTTGACAGTGATCGTATAAACTTTACTTCTATATGAAATAAGGCTAAAAGCAACTACAGTGTAGAATGCCTATAAAAAGGGAGACAAACTCATTAAAAGCTTGCCAGAACCTTCAAGTTCATGCAGTGAGAAATCGATCTATTCACGTGCAAAAACATGCCATCCTCCTGCAGCACAGTCACAGTGTCTCAAACACATCAGCCCACAGTGACGAAGTACATCACATTGTTCTTAGCCATTCTTAACTCTAACAGGTAAGGTACATAAAACCATTTGGTAGCAGGAACTACCAAAGCCTTTCACAAGGTCAGAAAATGACTATAAAAAATATAAACAGCAGTGACAATCTTTTGAAGCCAACATGAACTTCAAGCTTCTCTTGGCCAAACTCACCAGTAGGGAGCCTTCAATCAATTGTCCCACGTGCCACTGAACCGTTTGTTGGCTTACAGGTACTGAGCTACCTGTGTGGAGAGTATGCTGCCTTCCCTACAGCACTACAGGATCCACCATACTCAATCTGGCATTTAAAGAATTCCTTAAGAAATGCAATCTCAGGATGAAATGGGTATAAAACTAAAGGCAATTTAAGCTAAATTATTACTTAACTAAGATTCCAGAAATCAGAACAATTACAACCAAAAAAAGCAGTGCTTTTTGGTTCCTTCTTTTTCTTTCTGGCAAATCAAAGACATGCTCAAGCTACAGTTGACCCTGGGAATTACTTCCCATTTAGAAGGATTTCTGTGGTTTTCTTGCCCCTGCTTTTTTTCCTCTGCTATTCCATGTCAGTCCGTTTGCCATGGTATCAAAGATCCTGACTGGACTGACCCAAGCACAAGCATGACTGAATGATTTCATCTAAACCACAAACAAGTGTTCTGAGTTGTAACAGTCCTAGAAGTAGTTAACTTTTTACCGTGTCTGTATGAGACGTCCTGAGAGCACTCGCATTGCCTCCGTGGCCCTCCTTCCCAGCTGCTGATTCTGTGGCACTACCTCCTCAGACAACTTGGGCTTCTTCAGGATAAACGACCTAGTATCTGTATGGACCATGGATTCGGTATCATAGTAATCTGAATTGGGAGAAAAATCACACAGAAGAGAGAAAAGTAAGGTTGTAATTATACTCTTAACTTATAGCATATTTTAAAATATCAATTTATGGTGCAAATAAGCTGATTTTATTTTAATTTCTTACTAGCAGCTTCCAGAAAACATTTTTCTTATTCCACAGACATGGATTAACAGAAGCCATAGGCCACATTAAGCCAGAGCAGGAAAAATTTGTGACTGGAATGGCTGTGAAACACTGAAGGAAGTCCACACACCCCCAAAGTCTCTTAGGCTTTGAACACCTACTGATGTAATGCTTCTACTCCTTAGAGATGTAGAAAATAGAAAATACTAGAAGTAGAAACTGGAAAATAGAAGAAATCAGCCTAATTAATTGAAAAGGAATCTATATTTTAGCATTCACTGACCAGTAGTATTCAAATTTCAAACTAGCGATTTTTCTCCATGAACAAAAGCGCACAAGACTTAACCTGGAGTCACTTGCAAGGTATCTTCAATCGCAGCATCGACCTGGAGTCGAGAAGAGAGCTCCTTTTGTTCAGCTCCTAAAAAAAAAGCCGTCATTGGAAGGCTGTTTTACTGCACATCAGCATGGAACTATAGATTAAGACCTGAAGCATATTCACCTAATTCCTTTGATTAAAAAAAAAAAACCAAACAGGAAAAACTTCCACACTTCTTACACAAAGAAGCCATTCTCATTGCTAGGAACCCCTTTCTCATTGTTTCAGAACCAGTAACAAGCTTTCTCCAGCCAGGTGGCAGGGCAAAATCCCAAACTGCAAGACTCTGATCTTTCCCATACTCATTGCTCAGTACAAACCAGGTCTGTGGGGATGCAACTTATAAACACCACGTTTTAACTCTTCATTTATAGAGGTGTTGACTACTCAGACAATATGCACACACGAAAGCAGATAACTACAAGGGACTACTTTATGGTCTTCTTAAAAGAGGTGGGAAAAAAAACAATCAGAGTAGCACTGTTCTATATTTGATTTATGGTTGAAAAAATTTATTTTGCTTTCTGTAGTTTTCCTAAGCAAGCTGTCATTTCCATTTCAATTGCAAAAGAGCAAAAATATTTAACATAACTATTTTCTGTAAACTAATTCAAAGACCAATAAAGCTTCTTATGTACTTTACAGATACAATTTCAAGTATTTTATGTATCTGGAATCTTTCTGCCAACATCTATATGAAAAATAAGAGACTGAAAAAGTAGATTTTTTTTAAAAAATAATGCATATTTACCATTCCAACAAAGAGTTTACTCAAAAACTCTTACTCTAAGAGACAAAAAACCGGTCTCTGAGACCAGGTTAGATCATTCTAACAAAGATCTTACTCAAACCAAATTTTACTCAACAATCTAAATATCTAAACACTTAGCAAGAGTAAACTAACATCTTCTTATGGAAGTGTTCTTCCACTGTCTTATTTCTATGATTCCTTGTAACCAACCCAGATGCACACACTTCTTTGTAACAAAATCATGCTGAAAAGATAACTTTGACTGCCTTTAAATGTTATGCTATTTTCCTTCAGGAGTTTTGTAACGGAAGTACAACCAAAGCTTACTATTCAGTTATCCTGCTATCCGCTGTCCTGCAACAGCAAATGCAGTACTCCAATATTTCCACAAAAACCCCAAAACATTAGAACTATTTGCATGGTAACAGGATTTCAGAAAGAATCTAATAATATTTCATACGCTGCAAAATTATCCCAAATGTAGAGTACCTTAACTCCCTCACATAAGCTTTGTGGCAGAATTACTCCTACAAGACATTAAGGCCAAAAAAGCAAAGGATGTGGAAAAGAGAAGTTATCCCAATCTGAATGGATACATTCGCTTATTGCGTTTCCTAAGGCAAGATCACTCTTCGGTGATACGCCAGAGTGCTGCACCACCCTTTGCTTACTGATAATTCCTCTGAGGTTCTGTGTGTGTATGTATATGTCTGTGTGTGTATATATAAGTATGTATGTATATGTGTATATGTATGTGTATCTATCTTACAGCCATGCTTTAGAAAGCTTCTTGGTTTTCAGGGCATTTCCACATGCAACTTTTGATGTTAACTTAAAAATTAAAAGCATTTCTTTTCACTGCTCAGCATGTTGTAAAATGACATTCCCTGGTACAAATTTTTAAAGACTATTATCAGATGACCTTGAATTCCTTCAGCTGTCTGCTCCTTTGGCTCTTCTACTTGAAGCTGAGAACTCAGAGCAGGCAACCTGTTTTGCACATGGATAACTTCTAACTGAGATTCTTCTGGGCTAATTCGAGTTCTTGGTGCAACTGGAACAGTCTGTTTCTGTGGAACTTTAAATAAAGAGACAGAGCATATAATTTACATACAACCAAATCAGTATTATTTTTACATATGGTGCTAAAATAACGCTAATAAATTCCTACACGTACAAAAAAAAAGCATCTGTCTCCACAAAAATCATCTTTAGTGACCTGCAAATTTCTTAGTGTGAAAGCACATTCATGCATGTGCACAGAGCACTCTACAAGTGGCACCTCAGAACATCTACTTCTAAGACAAAACAGCAATGAGAAGGATTAGAGTGACATCAAAGTACTCGCTCATCCACATTTACATGTAATTAATTTAGTACTTTCTTACAGAAAACAGACCATAAAACTTGATGACAACAGAATCATAGAATCATTTAGGTTGGAAAAGACCTGAGATCACTGAGTCCAAAACCTAACACTGCCAAGTCCATCATCAAACCATGTCCTTAAGTGCCACATCTACGTCTCTTAAACACATCCAGTGAGTGTGACTCAACCATTTCCCTGGGTAGCCTGTTCCAGTGCTTGATAACCCTTTTGGGGAAGAAGTCTGTCCTAACAGCCAACCTAAACCTTCCCTGGCACAACTTGAGGCCATTTCCTCTTGTCCCATCTCCTGTTACTTGAGAGAAGAGACTGATCCCCACCCTTGGTACAACCTCCTTTAAGCAGGTAGTTATAGCACAGAACTTGGGGGTAGCAGGACGACAGGGTGACTTCTTTATTTGGCTTCTGCTAAGCACACCAGAACTGGCTGTGAGAGGCTAAGTAAGCATATTCTTTCCTTCGCTGAACATCACATCAGCACTCAACTTCTGACACATACAACTAAAAGGTACCATTCAGTACTGGATTTGTCATTTTTTTGTTTTACCTATGTATTTCAAATAAGCTTATCTCCATATTCCATGCAAAATACTTGAAAAAACACATTAAATATTAACTATGAAGTGGAAGAACCTGCAAGATACTTCAGATAAAATTCACAAGTCACCTCTGCATTAAAGCACAAAGTGGTGCTTTTTGGTGTCTCCACTGAAATATCCTTGTGTTAGTAAGCCACACTACAAGATCAACACTATTAAAAATCAATAGTTTTAATTAAATTGAAAGTTTTCTGACTATGCTTATTTCCAGATGTATTCCTATGTATACAGGAAAGACCTTCCTGCATCATCTCAAAGTACCATCCCCACGTTGCTGCTTTTTCTGCCATAAACACTCCTTGCTGGATAACTGGCATCAGAACTTAGGAGTATCAGTGCTCCTACCTCTTTTCTTAAACTGCTCATTCTGTTCGCCACCTGGAACGAAGACAAGCTCTTAATGCTTGGGAGGCACTTATGTTATTTGCTATTAATGACAAAGCATAGTTTTATTTTAGAAGTTCATCAACTGTATAAAAAGATTATGTAAGTAGTCAAGCAATCCAATAGTTCACTAGAGCTATTCTTAGTTAATTTTTCTTCAGTTCTGAATTTGGCAAAGACTTTTATTAGTCATCCATATAACTCATTCTGTTTTAAAACCAGCTCATTCTGTATGCCACTTCTAACATGCAATCTCCAATTCAAGAGCCTTAGAACACAGAGAACTCCACACCTATCTCCTGCTCACTGACAGGAGCTATTTAGCATTCTCTTTTATCTCTGCATGCTATCTTTAGCTTGGATTTATAAAACAGGGCTTGGAAATACTATAGCTTACACAAAAAACAATAAGGCTAATTACCAGCGGAATAATTGGTTGTTTTTGTAACCGATTCCTGTGCTTCAGAGATTGCTTTCAGTATTAAATTCTTATTGGCCTGTTTTGAAGGTGGCAATGAAGGTCTAAGGGAGATAAAAAAAAATAATTAATTGTACATGAATTGCAACAGCAACTGTATCCACATTAAACACAGATATTTCAACAGGCTAACACAGTTATGCATAATACTGCTAGAAATCATAATCTAAAATCACTTTACCCATATTTGTTTCCATCTTATTAACCTATTCTCTGAGTGGACGGGGATCCACAAAATATCTCAAAAATGGAAGTCCAGAGGCATGATTTCACCTCTCAGATTAAGCTGCTGTAAAACCACGCAGTGTGTGAAAGGGACAAACTCTTCCACTCGTTTCCTCCCACCTCTCCCCCTCACATGCCTGTTGCTATGTCTGTGTTAGCACTCCTAGTCGAGAAGCTGCCCCAGGGAGTAAGAGCCACCTGGAAACTGACTCTACCAAAAACATACTAGTTGTTCTAAAAAAAAGCTTTCTGTTTGTCTTTCAACGTCAACAATAAGGAAGTTTAAAATCAGATAAATGTGCTGTGGCACTGAAGATAATGAAGTGTATTAGCTTAAAACAAATCTTAGACAAGCTAGCACTGTACATCAGTAGGAACCATCTCTTCCACAGTTTAAATATTCTTCCTCTTATTACTGAAAATCAGCTACAAACCGCTGATGTACTTTGACTGACACATGACACTCAGACAGAATTAGGGAGCAGAAAAAAAGGGGTAAAACTCTCAAATCTTTGTAAAGTTAAAATCAACTTAAAGAACGACTGATAATTGGTTTGAAAACTATTCCTGAAACAAAAGCAAAGCAATTAAAACTCCTGGTAAATTATTTTACCACATTAAATACCTTATCTGAAACATATCAACATTAATATTCTTTTGCCAGTAAACTTTTCCCAAGTAGTGTAAAATTCTACATTCTGTTGCAGCTTATTCACAACAATAGAAACATGTTACAAAATCAGAGGGAAAAAGGGTGGTATAAAAAGACATCTCACCCACAGAGCTGTGAAATAGCACAAAAAAAAAAAATATTAAAAAGGCTTACTCAATTTTATCTGTCAGTTTTCAGAACTGCACAGAGTTTTCTCCAACTTCCACTTTCAAAGTTTTTGTTCCTTAAATTAATTCTGGAAACCAAATAATCACCCAGACGTTAGGTACCTTCTTTCTGGCTTTGCAGGTACAGACACACTGCTGGAGATGCTTCCTGTTCGCAATCCGTAGTCTTCATCATCATCATCATCTTCCCCATCGTTACAGAACTTTTTCACTTTGACTACTGAGCTTACCACAGGCAACCGCCTCTTCCGGGAGCTCTCTTCCTAAAACAAACAGAGCAGCCAAAACAATTAATTTAGCCTGAAACAGGTATTAATAAGCCAGCAAAGAAAATACTGCAATTCTACCTACAGCCAGAGGATGGAGAATTTCCACATAAGTTGCACAAGTCTAGTACTCCTGCACTGTGCAGAAACAAGAGACAGCACTAGAGAATATGAAATCAGACACATTTACACTGAAACATCTCATTAAAAATTTAACTGTAAATATTTAGAAGAAGAGAGGAAAAAACTCTGAAGTACAGGCAATTTATCCAACATTTTCAGAAAAAACCAGGGTTTGCCAAAGAAATTCATACTATCCTTCAAGATGCACCTGTTGAAAGTCTGATAGAGAAAAGTGAAATCAGTATGAAGGACCTTCTCCTCTGTATCAACTCTAATTTCAGTTTAGTGGAAGGATTAATTTCTAGCAATCTGACATTCCAAAGGATGCTAACAGCCCTGCAGAGCCAGGATGGTCCAGTTTAGGCCGTGCCAGCTCCCTGTTCTCACACAACCACTCGCTGCCACCACGGTGTGTGTGGCAGTGCCAGATTTAAATGCTAGGCTCTGCATGAGAGAGCACAAGTTGATAATTCCTGCAGGAACTATCACTTAGCAGCAAACTGCAAAGGAGCACAATGAGGCATCTGGATGCCAGGTTTGCATACAGTACCCTTTAAATTATCCTGTATCCTTCAAGGAGAAAGAAATATCCTAAGGGATGGACTTGGACTACACTGGTACAGAAGATTCATACAGTAAAAAAACCAACACCTACAGAAATGACCTTTTTAAAGGTAAAACTTCACAAAGCACAAGAACTTGTCTAGGAGAAGGTATAATACAGCAAATCATACTGTATATATATATATATATATATGTACTGTGTGTATATATATATACACTGTATATGTAATTGTGTATATATATATACACACACAACTCCAAAACCCACTCCTGCAATAGCCCTCTTCTGGATATTATTCATGAAAAAGTAACAGAAGGAAATTATCACAAGACTGTTTTTTAACATTTCCAAGGAGAGAGGTGGCTGTCATTCATCAATGACTGATACACAGCCTTAAACAAATCACTATTTTCTCACTATATTCCCATTCTTGCTTCCTGATCTTAAAAAACAAAGACATCAGCACATACCTTTGTAAAGAATTCTACATTTCTGAATCAAATTTTTTGTCAGAATTTGTTGTATACAGAACTAAGTAAGCAGTAGCAAAGGCAGGGAAGTACATAAGCAGTAACAAACACAGATGTGCTTGGGATACAAGGTGTGTAAAATTTCTGCTTCATTACAACATCAGCAGCCAAAGGGCTCTTAACTCATTCACATGGATAGTCTTAAAACTATTAGCTAGGACTATCACCTGCCTGGCTTAGTGTGGCTTCCAAGTACAAAGGGCAGCCACCACTTTTTAGTTTGTGCTTCTACAACACTCAACCCAAAGACCTCTTAAATGACATGATTCTAAATAGTATAATAATAATTCTAATACACAATACATCTAACGTATACCTAGCATAGGTATGAATAAGCAGCATCCCAAAAATGCTGATTTACAGAACTGTGTAAAGCTGGTGATTGACACAGCATTTAAAGAAGATCATACTTTTCCAAGGATTTGGAGATCAAAATTATTTCTGACTGATCACATGAACCATAACAACATGCTAACCCACTAGCCCAACTCAATTTGGCACAAAGATGTACAAGCTAATGAACCCTGAGAGGTAGAAACCTGGCAGGTGATGGTGTCAAACTCCGCAATCTCTTTTTATCAGCAGACCCTAAGAAGGAAATCCCAAACCCACTGGTATCAGCAAGAGGAGTCTTTCCGTTTCTCCGAGGTCAAGATTTTACTGCAGGTAAAGTAAGTACCCAGTATTTCAGGTTCCCAGCAAGTCAGATGATACCAACCTCACTGCCTGCTTTATCAGCACTAGGTCTGGAGGTTCTGTAACTTCCTGCTAAGCTGCCAAATGGTTCTGGATCACAGAGGGGGCCTGCTTCCAAAGCCCTGCAGCTCTGCGCGTCTGGCTGGCGGCTGCCCGGCGGGTTGCCCTGCGGTGAGGGTCTGTGCAGGTGCGCGCTGCCGTCGGCGC